TTTCCCCCACTCCCATCTCCTGTATTGCTGCTCCTGAATATTTTATCCTATTTTTTATTTATATTTTATTGTCAAGGTAATTTAAAGCAGGGTTATAGTTATGTAAGTAAGATAATAGATTTATTTCTTTTCTAACCTGTAACCCAGTCCCTCATTTTTCTCCCTCTTCCCTCCCAATGCCCACACCAAGATCATTTCCTACATATTGTCTTGTGAGTATCACTGTTACCTAGGTTTCCCCTTTTTCCTTTGTCTCACCATTTTGTTTTTTCCCTTTCCCTTGCCTAGTTCAGCTCAACATATTTACACTACTCAGGGTATCAAAATCAAATATAGTGTCTGCAGGGGATAAATTATAAGTGGGGAAAAACAAAAAGTTAAAAAGAAATCACATAGTACATTAGAACAACAACAACGAAGAACATGTGTTAGAGTTCATTTCACTTGGAATCACCTTATATGGTCATATCTACATAGCAATTGACCTCTTCTGCTCATCTACTAAGATTATCCTTGATGTACACAATCATGACCCCCTATTACCCAGTAATCCCACATCTGGGCATTACCCAAGTGATCACAAACAAGGCCACACTAAATCTACCAGCACAATTATGTTTATCACAATATTATTTACCACAGCTAAGATATGGAATCAATCCAGATGCTCCTCAGTAGATGAATAGATCAAGAAAATGTTACACACACACACATACACACATACATACACATGGAATACTATGCTTCCATCAGAAAGAATGATACCACCTCATTTGTAAGGAAATAGGAGATCGTCGAAAAAAATCACATCAAGTGATGCCAGACTTAAAGAAACATAGGTCCCATGGGTTCCCTTATTAATAATAATTAGTTTATATCAAGGATAATTTCATGTACATTAATTTGGCATTTTGTTCCATGTTGAGCATAAAACATTATTGCTATATTGTTTGTTATTATTTCTGCAAACAGGCAAGTATATGTAAAGAATTACGTTTATTTCATCCATTACTGAAGGAAGAACACCTAAAAGAGAAACCCCTACAAGGAAGACCAACTCCTACATATTTAGCTTCATTCCTATGTAAGGCCAGTGTTGTCCCCTGTATCCTCACGTTATACATTACAACTCTATACTTGGTCATCCTGTATATCCACTATCATCTATATTGTGACATAAATGCCCCAGCAATATCAGTTGCTTTACTTTTTGAAAAATTTCTCTGTTGCTTAGGTTGGTGTGTGTGTGTGTGTGTGTGTGTGTGTGTGTGTGTGTGTGTGTGTGTGTGTGTGTGTTGTTTTACAAAAATCAGAAAGCAACATTTTACATCATTTAGATTACATCTTTTAGGTCATTGTAAGTTGTGGCTAATGGGAGAAATCTCTTGCTATTTTAAAGATGAAACAGAAAATTATATTTGTGCATGTGCCACAGTTGCTTTATTAGTCTGTAGTTGAACACATAACCTTGATTTATATCTTGCCTGTTGTGAAATATGTGAATAACAGTGAACTACAGATATATTTACGAGTTACCCAGAGAGAATTAATCATATGATTGGTGGGTCAGATGATATTTCAACTTTGCATTTCTTTAGAAAATTGCATACTACTTTCTACAACGAGAATACTAATCTATATTTTGACCAAGAGTGTAGAAAATTTCCTTTGCTCCACACTCTCACCAACATTATTACCTTTTAAGTTTTTTTTAAAGGGCATGTTTTTACTATGTGCAGTATCCCAGGCTGGCCTTAAGCTGAAATCCTCTTACTCCAATTTCCCAAATGCTTGGAATTACAAGCCTTTACCACCACACCAAGTTCCTTCGAATATTTTTGATAAGAGTTATAATAGTTATGTAGTAGTATCATAGTAATTTTGAATTGCATTTCTCTAATGACTTCTGTTCACACAGCATTAAGCCAGCATAGAAGTGATATTAAACACAACTTTTTAAAGCCACTGGTGATTTTCAGGGCATATTGGAAAATATGTCTATTCAGAACTTTTATCGATTTTTAATCAAGTTCCTTGTTAATCTCATCTTTAATCTCTCTATACAAAATCAATAATACATTCCAGGTAGTAGAAAGGAAAAAATTGAGCAACACCTAACATTTTTCAATTTTCAATAACATGATATTGCTTAAATCATTTTTGCTTATGCTTGAGACTATATAACTCAATTTAGTGAAGCCTTTTACAAGGCTATATGTATTTAGTTTATTTTACTCTGATTGCTTTTTCCAAAGCCTGTGTGTCTAATTTTCCTTGGTTTCTTTCAGTCTCATGTAGTTCAGATTTCAAACTGAAGAATAAATTGAAAGACGCAACCAAAAAAATAGAGTTCCTCTCATCTGATGATGCCTCTACAAGAATGAGGAAAGAGTTCATCCTGCTAAGGACCTATGATAGGTTATCAAAAAGAGAATTCATTCTTCTAGGTCTTCCCTTTCTTTGCAATTTAACTTAAATAATGAAAAACACAATATACTGCTTAGTTACTTTTAGGCTTTATCAATTTTGAACATTTTCATATGGACCTTAGCTCAGTCTACAATTCCTTCATTATTCTGACCCTGATAGTTTAGCACTATCAAGACATAAGATAAGCAGTTTGATTTACAGCATGAGAAGTTATCCACCTGGCTTCCTTGGAAGCACAGCATAGTCAATAGATAACGTTACTTCTGGTGGCTCACTACATGTATTGATTTCTGTAATACATAGCACATTCTGTTTAGTATTAAAAAAAACTGCTGGCTAAACTCAAAGTTCATTAGTAATTTATGTTAAGTATTTCACAAGTTTTATGTCTCTTAGTACTTAAGAAAACATTTGCTATGATGCTAATGTTATTACCATTTTAGAGTTGAGAACAATTGTAATTAAAGTCACTAAGTGCATGGCCCAAAGACACACAGTGAGGAAGGAAATGAGTCAAAGTTTCCAAAAGCCTTTCAGCAATACAAAAACGGTAGGTGAAATATCTCCATTCTCTTACACTCTCAATTCAATATTCATATTGTCCAATAAATAATAGCATAGCAATTATTGCCCATGGTAATTGTTTTCTGTCACATTTTGTCTTCAACACAGATTGTGTTGTGACATTGGGTTATCGTGCACAGAGCTGAGCTTATAAATTGAGGTCCAAAGAGAGGCAAATTTCTTCTGTCCCACAGTTCCAGTATTCTTTTAAAAAAGTACTAAAACTTTTAAATACTATCACTTACTCTCTTTTAAGAATCTCAACATGAAATAAATTCACATATAATCACTCCAAAATGCTTTAAAAGTAGGAAATGATAAAACAGTCCCCCCGTGAACTAAATTTTTTTCTACTTTTAAAGTTATTCTGAAAGCATTGTGATGGTTGGTCACACGTGTAATCCTGTTTACTCTGCATATCTACTCAGGACCCTGAGAATTATGGATAAGAGTTGGAAGCCAATCAGGCCAAAAAATTCCTAAGATTATTTTTCCAAAATTTAAATAAACTAGCAAAGGTCCAGGAATGGAGATGTAGCTCATATAGTAGTAGCTCACCAATCTAGAGAGAAAAGGCTTAGCGAGACCATGAAGCCCTGAGTTAAAACTCTGAGCACACCAACATGCAGGCATGCACACACACACACACACACACACACACACACACACACACACACACACACACTCACACACTTACTCAAAATATCTATGGGTCAGTCTTCTCCATTAATTTCTTTGTGTGTGTGTGTGTGTGTGTGTGTGTGTGTGTGTGTATGTGTGTGTTTTAATTGTGAAAATACTGTACAGAGGGGTTACAATTACATGGGCAAGATAATGAGCACATTTCTTATCAAGTATTGTAGCCTCCTCCTTTGTTTCCCCTTCCCATCCCTTCCCAGCCTCCCCCTGCCCCCCACCCAATCCTCCCCCCCATTAATTTCTTTGTTAACAATATTATATGGGTAAAATAAAATAAACTCTTCCATCTCAGAACATTTTCTAATGTTTTTTATTGTAAAAGTACTGTACAGAGGGGTTAAAGTTACATGAGCAAAGTCATGAGTGCATTTCTTTTCAAGCATTGTTACCTCCTCCTTTGTTTTTCCCCCCACCATCACTTCCCCTCCACCTCCACATGTACACTTCTCATCCCCACACCCCCACACCCCCCAACATGTTGTCTTGTGCATCTCATTGTTACAATGGCTCAACTTTTATCTCTATTTAAGCATTTTGATTTTTCCCTTTCCTTCCCCAAATTAGAGAAGTGTATTTTCAGGATGTAGGTGCACCAACATCAAATCCAGTGAAAACAGGGCTTATACTGTGTGGGAGGACCAAATAAAAAACAAAAAAAAATCACATTGTACATTATAAATATGTTAGAAACAACAGTAAGAAAGAATTAAAAAAAACACTTCTGTCCTTATCTTGGGGTTCATTTAGCTTAACATCATCTTATTTAGTAATATGCATATAGCTTTTGATCTTTTCTGCTTATCCCAGTTTTCTGCTTATATTATTTATTGCAAGTAAGGGATACCTTACATATATATACATTCCAATCTATATTTATATTTATGTATATAAATATACATATATACAAATATATATATACATATATATGTATGTGTAGATAGATCGATAGATAGAAAGATAGATAGATAGATAGGAAAATACATACACACACACACACACACACACACACACACACAAAATTTTCTTGATTCATTCATTTTCTGAGGGGCATCGGGTTTGGTTCCCTATCTTAGCTATGGTAAATAATGCTGCAATAAACATAGCTGTGCTGGTAGTTATAGTATGGTCTTGTTTGATCATTTGGATGAATGCCCAAAAGTGGGATTGCTGGGTCATAGGGGAGCTCTATGTGGAATCTTTTGAGGAACCGCCATACTTCTTTCCAAGTGGTTGAACAAGTTTTCACTCCCACCAAGAATGGAGTAGGGTTCCCTTCTGTCCACATACCCTCCAGCATCTGTTGTTGTAAAAATGTGGAAATCTTCATGAATTTGCATGTCATCCTTGCGTAGGGGTCATGCTAATTCTCTCTGTATTTTTCCAATTTTAGTGTATGTGTTGCCAAACTGAGCACGGAACATTTTTTATACATAAAGTGGAATTGATTTTCCTAAACTAGAAAATTCAACAAAAATAAGTTCAAAAGACTTGTCGTGAAATTTTAGAACCATATATTTCTTATGTAAGCACACATTTAAGAATAAAGTCAAGTTAGATATGTCAAAAACAAAATAATTCCAGATATCTGTTCTTCAAGAGATGTGTAACAGTAGAAATTCAATTATTCTATACATGGCACCTGTCATAATGAGCACTGTAGCAAGTCCTAAGGTTTGTTAAAAATTTTATTGTTTTAAATACGTTTAATTTTGGGAATTTGCTTATATTTGCCAAAATTAAGACTGTTCGGCAGGTCATAAAACTTTTCCATAAAGTATTTAAGATTTATGGTAGCAGACATATACTACTAAGTATGTACATTTCAGAGTTTATAGAAACTTTACTATGAGAAGTTACAAAGTCTGTGTAAAGAAACAGAGAGAAGAGTTAAGATTTTAACTACACAGTTTCTGTTAAAACTTGAGGGCTTCTTTTATATGTTAGTGAGAAACAAATGATGATATAAGCCATATACAAATGATGAGATGAGCCATAAAGAAAGAGTAACCTTAGTGGGTAACTTTAAAGGCTACCCGTAGCCTACAAAACTCTTGTGAAATCATAATCTTAGCCAGTTTTAAATGTACAGGAATATGAGTAAATAGTAAAATCTAATATGTAGAACACTTCAAAAACTGGAAACACTGGTGTTTGGTTTTTATTTTATTAAACATTAATAATTAATTATTGGTTTTCTTTATTTGTAGCATTGTTTTCCTTTTTGTAATGGAATACAACTTTTCATAACTCATCATCAGAAGGTACTTTGAGAATGTTACTGGGATGTCCACACCATTTTTTATTGATACATGTGAATATACAAAGAGAAAAATTAAGAACAAAATATTGATTTAAAATTTTCTCAAGTAGAAATCTGAATCAGAAGTGTTGATAAATGTATACACTTAAAATCTTAGTCCTAGGCTGAAGCAGTGTCTTTACAGAATTGAGGCTACAAATGTGATAGCTGTGTTTTGTTTAGTTTTTTGGTTTGGTTTTTGTTTTTGTGGGGCTTGAACTCTGGAGCCTGAGTGCTGTCCCTCAGCTTTTTAGCTCAAAGATGGTGCTACCACTTGAGCCACAGCACCACTTTTGTCTTTTTCTTCTTCTATGGTGCTGAGGAATCAAACCCAGGACCTCATGCATGCAAGGCAAACACTCTACCACTGAGCCCCGTTACCAGCTTCTGAAAGACTATGTTTTAAGAAATCATCTAAACAACATTTGCTTTCTGGTTTGGGTTATATAATGAAATATATGAATATCTTTTAACATTTTTGTCATTTTCATACTTCTTTATATTGTGAAAATACTGCACAGAGGAGTAACAATTACATGGGTAAGATAATGAGCACATTACCTTTGTTTCCCCTTCCCATCCCTTCGTATCCTCCCCACCGTCCCCCCAACCAAAGTTGTAAAGTTCTTTTTTCGACATAAAGACTTGTACATCTCATTGTTGAAATGGGTCCTCCTGTATCTCTGTTTTAACGATTTGTTTTTTCCCTTCTCCACATACATCAACTTCATATATAGTGAAAACAGGGGTTATACCATGGCGGAGGGACATACAAAGCAATAAAAACATAATTTTATAAATATGTTAGAATCCATCACATGAAAGATCTCTCTCTCTCTCTTTTTTGTCAGTCGTGGGACTTGAGCTCTAGGCCTGGCAGCTGTCCCTGAGCAATTCAGCTCAAGGCTCATGCTCTACCACTTGAGCCATAGCTCCACTTGTAGTTTTCTGGTTTTTTTTTTTTTTTTTTTTTTGTAATTAAGTGATTACAAAATTTGCCAGTTTTCACAGTATTTTGGGATGATGATGCTCATTTAAAGTCACAAACTCATTGTAGCTTTCCTGGAGCACATTGTCTATCACGGTCTGTAACATATAATGGTGTACACATATACACCATACATGTGATCAGCAGCATGGGGTTATTTAATAGTGGTTCGACCAGAGGAGTGGAAGTTCTTTGTTTCTTCTTTTCTTAAGTCCTTCTGCGTGGGTGATCTGCAGGCAGCCTCCTTTTTCTCTGGGACTCCAGCAGCCCCTGCTGCGCTGCTTGCCACCAGTAAGCACTGGAGGTGGAGTCTTCGTGCTTCTCTGTTCTGAAATTCTTTTTCTCTCTTTCTTTTTTGTTATTTTCCACCTCCTGTATTTCTCTGGGTGTTCATCTTTTTGTTTTTGTCGGTCTCTTGGGGAGGTTAAGCTTAGGAACTATAACTCTCTTTTTGGTTGGGGAGAGCTGTGGCGTTTCCCTACTGCCCTGTTGCCATCTTGGTCCCCCCTCCCATTTTCATACTTCTAAATTTATACTAACTTCAGCCACTTTATCCTTTGCAAAGTCATGAAATAGCTCTGAGAATTTGCTTCTGTGAAGATTGTCTTTGGATTTATTTCTTCTGCTCCCTATCCATTCCCTATTCTCCAGTTAGAATAATTTCAAATAGTAAAAATGGAAAAAGAGAAAAAAGTCATGGTGAAAAAACAGAAGTAGAAAATTCACTGGATTTTTCTGACTACTTCAACCAACGTGAACTATTGGGGAATACGTACACCTCATTCCCACTGGTACTCAAAGTCTCTAGTTAGGCAATTCTGATGAAGACAAGGAACTAGATGAAAAAGTGAGGAATGGTATCATTTGCTAGAAAAAAATAGAGAAGTGTCCAAGCAAATTTCTTCATTGGGCTGTTGAAAATAATTGGCTTACTACAGTGCAGAGACTACTTTCCAAAAAGGCCACTCATGTGAATACTAGGGATGATGATGAGTATAGCTCTCTTCATCCAGATGCCTACAGTAGATACTTAGACATAGTGCTTATATGTGGAATAATACCAGAGTGGCTTCTTTCTTACTGCATCATGATGCAGATACCAATGCCCAAACTAAAGAAGTCTTGACAACCTTGCATCTTGCTGCTGGGAATAGAAATAACAAAGGTACGCTGGATCTGCTTCTATTGAAATATTATATCAAACCAGGTCAAGAACAACTTGGAAGAAGCTGCATTTGATATTGCCAAAAGGTTAAGTATGTATCACCTCTTTGAAGTTGTGGAAGGCTGCAAAAATTTTTCTCCTAAGTCATAATGGTTTGGTTAAGTTTCTTTTTTTTTTTTTTTTTAATTTAATTTTATTTTATTTGAGAACATACTGTACAGAGGGGTTACAATTACATGGGCAGGATAATGCATACATTTCTTACCAAGCATTGCAGCCTCCTCCTTTGTTTACCCTTCACCTCCCTTCCCAGCCTCCCCCCTCCCTCCCACCCAATCATACCCCCCTTCCCCCCCCCCCCGACATTGTAAAGCTGGTTTTGACATGACATTTTGTACTTCTCATTGTTGCAACAGGTCCACCTGAATCCTTAAACGACTTGTTTGTCCCCATCTCCTCCACATGTTATACTGACATCAAATATAGTGAAAGCGGGGGTTACACTGTGGGGGAGGGACATACAAAGCAACAAAGAGATAATCTTATAAATGCGTTAGAAACACATGCATGAAAGAAACAAAAACATTAAAATACATATTTGAGGTTTCGTTTTCCTAACATCACATTATTTGACTTTTTCCGCTTGACTCATACCTATACTAGATATTGCAAATAAGGGAAACCATGGGACCTATGTTTCTTTGGGCCTGGCTTACTTCACTTAATATAATTTTTTCCAAGCCTTTCCATTTCCTAACAAATGGGGAAATGTCATTCTTTCTGATGGAGGCATAGAATTCCATTGTGTATATATACCACATCTTCTTGATCCATTCATCTACTGAGGGGCATCTGGGTTGGTTCCATGTCTTAGCTATGGTAAATAATGCTGCAATAAACATAGTTGTGCTGGTAGCTTTAGTGTGGCCTTGTTTGTGATCATTTGGGTAAATGCCCAAAAGTGGGATTGCTGGGTCATTGGGGAGCTCTATGTGGAGTCTTTTGAGGAACCTCCATACTGCTTTCCAAAGTGGTTGAACAAGTTTACATTCCCACCAACAATGAAGTAAGGTTCCTTTCTGTCCACATCCCCTCCAGCATCTGTTGTTGTTAGAGTTCTTGATTTTTGCTGTTCTAACTGGAGTGAGGTGATATCTCAATGTTGTTTTGATTTGCATTTCTTTTATGGCTAGGGATGTTGAACATTTCTTCATGTGTCTATTGGCCATCCTTCTTTCTTCTTCAGAGAAGCTTCTCTTTAAGTCTTTCGCCCACTTACTTATTGGGCAGTTGTTTCTTTGAGGATTTGTTGTTGGGTGGTTTAATTTTTTGAGTTCCAAGTATATTTTAGATATGAGACCCTTGTCCGTTGTATGGCTAGTAAAGATCTTCTCCCAGTCCGTGGGCTTTCTATTGATCTTGCTAGCTATGTCATTTGCCCTGCAGAAGCTCTGCAACCTTATACAATCCCATTTGTCCAGCCTTTCTTTGATTTGTTGTGTTTCCGGGTCTTTATTCAGAAAATTTCGGCCTGTGCCAAGGAGACCCAGGGTTTCTCCTATTCCATCCTGTAATGTTTTCAGAGTGTCTGCTTTGAGTTCAAGGTCTTTGATCCATTTGGAGTTGATTCTGGTGCAGGGTGATATATAAGGATCTAGCTTTAGTTTTCTGCATGTAGTTAACCAGTTTTGCCAGCACCATTTACTGAAGAGGCTGTCTGTCTTCCATTCTATTGTTTTAGCTCCCTTATCGAAGATTAGATGGCTATAGGTCTGTAGGTTCATTTCTGGGTTTTCAATTCTATTCCATTGGTCCTGAGGTCTGTTCTTATGCCAATACCAAGCTGTTTTGATTACTATGGCTTTATAGTAGAGTTTGAAATTTGGTACTGATATTCCTCCAGCAGTGTTCTTTCCGTTGAGGAGCGTTTTTGCTATTCGGGGTCTTTTATTGTTCCATATG